ATAGAAAATGCAAAGATCTTTTTTTTTACTATAAGCTGCAAAGTGAAAAAAAATACTATGGAGAAATATCACAAATATTTTTAGAGGGACTGGAATGTTTTCATGTTGTGTCTTGCTTTTGTGAAGACAATTTTAGGCTCATTTGACTTCTGGCATTCATTAAGCATCTCTATACTGGAGCAGTAACCTATAAAGTCTTCTTGACTTCTATATTTGACACTCCTGGCAAGAGTGACAAAATGTACTTGCCAAATAATTATCTTCCATGGCAAGTCACTGAAGAGATGGAAAAACACTGAGAGAAATTATCATACCTTTCAGGACAGTCATCATGTTCACAAAACTTTTTTTAAAATTGCAAAAAATGGGGTTTTTAAGAAGGAAAACATATCTGTAAAATAGGTTAGATTGTTTGCAACGATATATGTTCTATAATCTGTTATGTGTATGTGAAGATGACTGGTATCTAAAGTCCTATTGCCAAAATCTGCCCTTTTTGAGATCAGTCCTGGAAAATAAATCACAGAATTTACTTTCTTTTGGTGAATTTCAGTAGTGTTTTTTGCTCCTGCAATGGTATTTTCTTACCATTTCAATGCATGAACAACAGTATTTCTTATTCAGGGAAATTTAACTTTTAACATTGAGTTTGGTGGTGGTTAATAAAGGGATTATAGTATGTATTTGTCTGCAACAGAGAGCAGATAATAAAGCTCAGTAATAAAGGACTTCCTTGTCGGTTTGGTGTTCTTAAATTAAGAATTCAGGAAGAAGTTAATAATTTACAGTGAGGAGCAAGGACAGCCTGGACTTTACCCTGTGCCAGTACAGGTCAGTGAAGTGCATGACCTGTAGATGTTGTGCTGTGACCTCCTGGCCCCGCAGTGTCCCGGGAGCTGCTCCGGGCTGCCGCAAAGGCCACGGCATGACCACGGCCCAGGGACCCGTCCCAGGGCTCTGAGACCGGGGCAGGGCATCCACATGGCCACAGCACAGGGTCTGAGATACAGCTCATGTCACCTGGCTTCAAAGGGAGGCATCCCAGGTGGCAACAGAGGAGGCAGCGTCTCTGTGCTCCTCCTCGCTCAGTCTCTGCTCCAGCACCCCTCTGTCTGCCCTGATGCTGGACCTGTGTCTTTGTTCCTTATCAATCTCCAGCTGCTCTGGAAAGCAAAATTCCATGAACCTCTAGTATTCTCCCATCTCCTTCCATCCCTACATACTTACCTTCCTACATCCCTACACATCGATCTCCCTACACACTTTTCATTCTTTCCCTGTGTTGTCCCTGATGGTCCAATTCAGTCCTCTTTGGTAACTGTATAGGTTAAGGAATTTCCTGACATTTATACCACTGGTCTTTCTGGGAGAAAAGCTCTTCCTACCCACAGGAGATTGCCAGAAGCTCATAATCTGGGATCAGTGGGAACGCTGTTACAACACTGCTGTAGTCAGCAATGGGTTTTTTCTTCACAGAAAAACAGGGCTTTCAGGGTAGTTTTTCTGTGTTTTGTATCTACAAAAATGTGCACATACAGAGTATATACAGAGAAGGGCTTAGCCAGCCCAGTGTGGAATTTTACTGGAGACAGCAGTAAATAGTTTTTGAAGGCAGGGAAGCAGCCTGTTAGCGTGGTGCAGAGTGCCTTCAGACCCTGGTGTTTCCAAATGCTTTTCTAACTTCACATCAGGCCTCATTCCTCCCTATCCCAGCTCCCCCTGCCTGCTCCTTGGCTCTTTTATTGAGCAGGTAGAGGTTAAAATCTGCAGTGCAATCCTGCCTGCAAAATTCTGTTCAACATGGTAATTTTGCTGTAAAAACCAATTTTCCTATTCTTAAATGAAGTCATATCCAGCATAAATGATGTCTGTTAATGTATATCTGGTATTCTGACTTATTGTGTTTGCTTAACATTGATGCTGCAAATTAGGTAAGAAAAAGAATGGTGCTACAGAGTGGGTTTCTTTGTTGAAACTGAATAAGATTTTTATAACATTGGAAACGGAAGGATGTTTTTACAAGAATAAACTATATCTAATTGTAAGTGAAACCCTTAAAAGATGGGTGAAATATTGTATGACAGATATTTCTTTAAAATGAATCCTTTATTGCTTTATACAGAGGTGGAAAGAAAGGACACAAAGAAAAGGAAAGGGTAACAGACTCTAGTTTGTATGGTTGTAGGCAGTAACAGGAGGAGGAGGAGAACTGAGAATTCTGTGCAATGAAATCATAAAAGAAAAGGAAGATTTATTCAAAGTTGTACCAGGGTGTTTTATAAGCTAATAATAGTCTTATATTTGAAAAGGGGACATAGAGATTAGATTTAATGAGAAACTTTCCCACAAAAAGATTTGACAGTGGAGGGGTCTGTCAAAATGGTCATTGAAGTATGATCACAAGAAATGTTCAGGAAGAGATAAGATAAAACTCTCAAGTGAGTAGTGAGAGCAGAGATTAACAAGACCTGGTCATAGCCCAGAAGATACTGTTGGGCTTTGAATTTGTAAAAATTTGTGTAGTGGATTGTTTCATGCCACCTTCTCAGACTCTATCCTAAAATGTTGTTATCTCCCTGAAGCTTCTCTGACACAAAAAAAAAAAAAAAAAAAAAAAAAAAGAAAAAAAAAAGGCATAAATATATTTTTCCTACTCACTGAGATGAAGATAATTGATGATCCTGATATTTCTTGTATTGCAAGAACTGATCAGGAAACTCAAGAGGTGTGTATGAGAGTTTGAAGTTATTTCATTCTCCCTCTCTCTCAGAAATACCAAGTGAATTATTTGACACTGCCATTTTCTAATGCATAGTGACAGATATTGCAAATACTGGGGACCCTGATTCCAAGTATGCCACTTTTAACTAGCTAGTAGAAAATGTAAGTGACAGCTTCTAGGGGTTTAATTCACTATTATCTCTTTCTAGCATTCTGCATACTGCAGCAGTAGCCCAGGTTGTTGAATTTGGTCATCCTCTGCTATTTTTAAAATGAGTTTGTGTCTTTTGATGGGAACAGTTTAAAATGAAACTGGAGAAGAGGAACTAAAAAACATCATTGACCATATTTGCCTGCATCAATAGGGTCCCAAGGGTTACATTTCAAAATAACCTTTGTGGTTTTTTATGGTCCAAGATAGCTCAAACACTTTTCAGAGCTGTTTTGGCCTTGCTTTGATCTATGGCTAGCCACTTAATCCCAAGAAGCTGTTCTCTTGAGAGAGAATTGATAGACTTAAAGGGTTGCTGTGGTTATGTTCAGTTTCTCTTGCCCATACCTTTCGGTTTTGTTCAGGAAGGAGCAGCACAGCACCTGTGTGAGGATTGCCTTGCAGTATCCTCCAGAGGGAAGTGGAGCCAGACTTTGAGCTGCCACAGTGGGTTTAGCAATTCAACTCACTCCTCAGACTGCTGCAGAAAAGTCAATAGAGCTGTTAGTCAAGAGCAAGGCAGATAAAAAGCACTGCAGCGGAATAACAGCAATGTCAAATGCTATTGGAAGGACAGGATAGGCCACTGGTTTGCATTTACCAATGAAATAAGAACCAAGCTAAAAGGCAGAGGAGAATGAAGATGGTGAATGGAGGTGTGCTTTACAAGAGAACTGTTTTATTGGAAAGGTTAATTGGGTATTAAGATAATGTAGCCAGTAAATTCTGCTTCAATACTTTGCTTATAGATAGATTCAAAATTATTTAGAAATTTAGATGATAGATTTAAAAGTCCTAATGTATGTACTGTTGAGATCTATATTATGGGAATTAATGGCTAGATTAGATACATTTTGGAGAAGGAGTATCTAGAGCCTGCAATTGTTACAGGGATTGGGATTGCTCTGACTTTTCCCAGAAAACATTTCAAGGCAATAGGTTTTAGACATTATTTCCTGTAACTTCCGCAGAGATAGCCTCTGATCATGTAAAAAAAAAAAATCTGCTTTTTGTTTCACACTGCCAAGGCCTGCTGCGTCCTGCAGTAAGAATGTATGTATAGAAGCTCATTGAATACTTCTTGAAATTATTGCAATTGATTTGCCTTCAGGAAATAAAAAAGGGAGGAGAACAAAAGCTTTTTTGTTTTCTCTGAACAGATGTTGAACTAATTATATGCGCAATTTAAACATTTAATTGAGAAAATGTCTCCTTATGCTTAAATTATCAGAAACTGTCTAGAATTTGCATACAGTGACACTAGAGTTCATTGCAAGTCTTTTGAAATTCTGAACACATCCAATTTTTTTACTAAGATTTACTTGCATCTCAAGCAAGTTTTAAAAGCTGTTAAAATGCCAAAATTCAGGCTATGCATAAAACATTCTTTTACGAGGTTTGCTTTATGATACAATCTTTAATGGATAACTGCACACCATGTTTAAGCCAAAACCCAACCCAGTTCAGAGCTCTGTTTTGCTACAAAACATTTCACATTGTTCAGATTCTATCTTCTACGTGTGTCTACATGTATTCTCTCTTTTTCTTTTGGCTGCAATGAAGAGAGTTGGAAAATAAATTGAATTCAGCTGTAGAAATACAATTAGATGGAATGGGGGTCATAATGTGTTTGGTTTGTTTTACTTGATGCACATATCTCTATCCCCAAGAACCTGAGGATGCAACATTTTGGTTTTTCTAAGCATTCGAGTAATCTAAGGCCTTATTTTAAGGGTATGTGCTACAGAAAATTGGAGGGTGGAAGGCTGCCTCAAACTAAGTGCTTAAGGTCAGAACTGTTTCATTTTAAATTGTTTTCTCTGTATGACTGAACACATAACTAAGAGAAGCACTCATTTCTTAACAATAGATTCCTAATTGTGGATCTTTTTTTCATCTTTCTCATCTCTCTCATAAAGATTAGCTAATACTGAAGCAGCAGCACACAACAAAACACTAGACACATTAATGATAACTCATTTTACTGGTCTACCCAAACAATTATGCTGAATATTTTTTCATGTATAGAGGGCTTTTTCTCAGTAAAATGTTTTCTTTCCCTTTACAGATTTCAAGCATGTGTTTATTTTGCATCTGTCTTTCAAGCTATGTCATGTGGTATCCATTACTTAGCATCTGTGTTCATGGCTGTTACTCCTAACTTTGTATGTGGGTTCCCTGGAAATGTGAGTAGTGTTCTTTTCCACAACTCCTCTGCATCGAGTATAGAGGACATCTGGACGCTATGGACATCAACAGAAAACTACGTTGTAGTCCAGCTGGGAAATGGAGAAATTTGGGAACTTGATCAATGCAGCAGGTCCAAGCGAGAAGTCAGTTTGGATCTGGCATATGAATACGAAGGCAACAAGTCTGTATTTCCTTGTTCTGATGGATTTCTCTATGATGATACAAAGTGGAAGAGCACTGTTGTTACGCAGTGGGATCTGGTCTGTGACAGAGAATGGCTTGCAAAATTAATCCAGCCTATGTTCATGCTTGGAGTCTTGATTGGAGCAGTGATTTTTGGTGACATCGCTGACAGGTAAAGTGCTGTCCTCTGTAAACTGTTGCTTCAGGCTACAGTAACTCCATGTGTATCTACCTGTTTTTGTTGTTTCCATTCATTGTGTAATCATAACTACATATGCAGTATTCAGGTGTTTTGAATATTGCTTTATTCACAGATCTGTTTAACTTGCTTTCTTTTTCCTATAACAAGTCCTAATTTTAAAATGTATTCTCAAGTAATTTACTTTTAAAAGTTTTTCATATTTCTCATACATTGTTCTAGGCCTTGATCCCTGAAATTGCCCTGTGCAGCTAGTATTTTCCTTTAGATTTTTATTTATTTATTTGTCTGTTTACTTATTTTGACAGGAATAGCAATGGCTCATTGTAATAGCAACATTAAAACCTGGGAGTAGATTTTCACCTCATTTTTCATGAGAATAGGTTCCTCATGGAAATGCAGATTTTTTTTTTTTTTTTTTTTTGTAATATGACAAATAGTTGAAGGGCTACTAGAAGGTTAAATATCATGTATTTGAAAATCGCCTTTCCTAACCTCTGTCATGAATACAGCTCAATGAAGCAGATGCAAAGGCTTTGAGGGTTTAATCAAGTCCCACCTTCTTAAAATATATTATACTACCCATATACTATTCTTTCTTGCTGTCCAGTTCTAGGTTTGCCCTTGAAAAAATTAGCTTAAACTTCAGTCTCTGGAAAGCTTGTGAACATAAGAGGCAAAATGGGCGTGGATGAGCTGTGCTGTAGCTTCACTCATTTACCAGCATGTACAAAGTTCTGTTTGAGCACAAGAAGCATCAGTCCTGGAGGGACTTGAGCACAAGGAGCATCAGTCCTGGAGGGACTTGACCCAAGCAGTCTCTTGCTCACAGTTCCAAGGCCCATTTTTTGTCCAACACTTCCTCCCTGAGTGTTACCTCAGATCATGCACTGAAATCCAGCATCAGAGCTGGACTGAGAGCAATGAGCCTCGGGGTGTACATCTGTGGCCTCCTGCCTCAGCTGCTTTTCTCTCCCAACACAAACAGGCATATTCCTGCCTCAGAGAGCACCCAGCCATGCCTGTCTGTCCATATGAGAATCACATATCCAGGTTGTGTTGAACTTAGCTTTGTCTTGCTCACCTTCTGTACCTGTGCTTTGCTTTGAAGGCTGGTTTAGAGTTATTTATGTCTTTCTATAAAGGAGCTTGTTGACTGACAGTTCTGTTGGGTGGAGAGTGAAGTTTCATCCCACATTTAAGAGTGTAAGCAGAACAAGGAGATCAGACATATTGTTTTCTGATTTTCCTTCATTAGCAGAACACTACAGTGTGACAGTCACAACATGGGAATACAAAAGCAATGATGAATTTTTCTTTTAATTTGGCTTTTAGAACATGTGGAATCAATCTGCCTCCCAATCCCAGGCTCTGTAAAACGATTTAATTCAAAACCAGAATATAATGCCAACATCTGTTTTTAGTCCATTTAAATAATTCATAACTTTATTAGTTAATACTTGGATATGATTTATAAAGTTAGGATTGTATTGTTCTCATTTCCATTAATTCAACCCATGGACAATCAGTTAAAATAATACACACATTCTGAGTTGCAGATTTACGGCTGCAGAATTTACAGCTGCAAGTTATTATTTTCTGACACATCCTGGCTCATGGGAAATAAGATTTTGTATCCCTCCCATTACCAATTAACAGATTTCCCAACAGAAGAGCTCAGATAGCTAAGACTTATTGGGATCTTTCCTGGCAGGGATCAAAGACCAAATCATGACTTCAGGTCAAGGCTGGGAAAAAACAGAAGGAATTTTACTGGAGTACAAAATACTCACATTAAAAAACACTCCAAAAGTCCTCAAACTCTCTATATAAAAGTAATATCCCCATTTGTGAAAAGCTGTTTGCAATGGAGAAGGTAATAAGAACCAAGGAGTTATTATCAGGGAAGAAAAAGAATTCCACACAATTTGTGTTACAAAGCATTTGTAGATAGAATGTAGTGAATTCCCAATGGAGTCTTGTATATCTACTGCTGCAGCTAGTATTTGACATGATTTTTTGGACATTATTTTACTTTCTTCCCGGATTTCTGTGTTTTTATATGCACGTGTATTTGCTGTCAGAAATCAGAAAATTATGAGAGACTGTGTGATTGTCATTTGTTAGAAAATTCAATTTTAAAGAACTGGATAAAGGTACAGAGACCTCTCATTACTATCAAAATTGGTTGTTACTGTGACAAAAGATGGCATGTGTTATCACAGCTAACTTTTGTCAGAAATTATTAACATGACATACTACTTAATATAAAATATCTGAAAAACTGATTTATGTCCTCATAAATAAAAGTAAAATTACCAATCAGTTATGTAGAAGTTAAAACTGGAGGTGAACATATGTAATGCTCACTGCACATTGCTTCCAGCCAAGAATTGTGGAATGGAAGTTCCATTCATCCTTTTTCTTGGAAGTTGGAATTACTGACAAATTAATACAGGTAACAAAACCAGAATTTCTGTGGTGAGTTATTACCTTCCATCTAGGCTCTCTGGAGCTGCAGGTGTATTTTAATAGAATGTTGGTGGTTATTGCTGATTTTGTTACTGCTGTGATTTGCAGACTGGGAAGACAGCGTGTTATATGGTTCACAAGTGCTGGTCAGTTTGTATTTGGCATTGCAGTGGCCTTCACGTTTGACTACTACAGTTTCGTGATTGTGCGCTTTCTCCTCGCTATGGTAAGAAAGGCAATTCACCCTAGCCCTTTTCCATGTCACTTCTTACCCCTTCTCAGGAAAACCTCCCTTTTGTTATTATTTCCTCTCCTACTTCATTATTCTAAAGCCCCGTCTGTTGCACTTATTTCAGCAGAGCAGGGAGAGTCTGAATGTTCTTGGACCACAGCAGTTTTCCTCTTTGAATTAATAGAAAGCATCTGTATGAAGCAGTGTTTGGTACTTCCTCCATCCCAACCTCTGCTGGACTGGTAATTAAATGCCAAGTGTGAGCAGCAAACTCCGGATTCTGCATTGCAGCTGCTGTTGCATTTCTCCTTATTGTTAGAAATGGAATACATTTTTTCTTAAACTAGCAAATCTATAATAAGTATTATTTTTATCTCTACCATTTTGAGTGATGGAGGAGAGATGCACATTTTCTCTTCCATGCATCTCTTTGGTCTTTTAAGCTGTATCTGGAATACTAAATACACAGGCAGATATGTTTAACACCTAGATGTTTTATACTGTACTTAAGGGTATTTCAGTATATGTGTTTAGGCAGACCCACACACACAAGTTTATGTATGTGTGGTATACATCAAATATCTGACATATATTTAATATTTACATAATAACCAATCTAAAAAAACATTTTACAGCCTAAAGTACATTCTTGAGCTTTTCACTACATAATGCATAAAGAAATTAGAATGCCATCACAAAAAAAAAAAAAAAAATCTAGCTTATTGAACATGGGTTATATATTTGAAATTATTCCCATAATTTATTTTGTTCCTGCTGTGACAGTGCATTAGTCAAGACAGGACCTTGCATCTGGAGCTCCCTTTGCCTGAATTTCCTAGCAGGAAAACCTGCATCAGGTCAGTCTGGAACAGTGAGATCTACAGGAGTCCCTCTGCTGACTCCCTTGGCTGTTGATGCCAGGTCCTGTGGTAGTTCAGATAAGCAAAAAGCTCTGACCAGACCGATGCTGTAGGTTTTTTCTGGCCACTGGGACTGATTTGCAAGGTGCAGTCCTAAACTCTAGCCCCATGACCCTGCGGTCACTTCAGCTTTCCTATCAGTGGGTTCAGAATCGGAGACTATTAGCTGGAATATTTTTAACAGGAAAATTGATTAATCAAAGCAATATACTGAAATATTTTCTAGTCTATATTCTCTAGTTTTTTTTTTTTTGCAATGTTTTAAGACAACAGGAATTTGATGTTGAGATATTTGAGAAATATATATATATTCAATAATATATATATGTATTAAGTGAAGAAATACTATTATGCAGAACATGCCAGTAATTGCATTCACTTGATACCACATGAGAACCTGTAATTGTGTATATATGAGATTCTCTTCCAATATTGTAAAAACTTTGATTTAATGAGATCTTTTACAAGTGTGTGGAAGGTAATTGTTCGTAAATGTGCAGTTTTCTGACATGCAGGTTATTAACTGTCTGCTTAAAAGTTGAGATCAAGATTTTCAGAAGTGACAACTACTTCAGGGGACCTCTCTTTCCCAAGCATCCAGTTTGTGATGTCATTAAGGGATCTGATTTTTGGAGGAGAAGGGCTTAATGACATCAGCAAATTAAGTTTCTTCACAGGTGTCTCTTGCTGGCTGTCCCCCACTGCAGAGAAGCATCCTAATTCACTTTACATTTTTAGATAGTGTCCAGGCAGTCTGAAGGTTTGAGTGAATTTATTCTCCAGCTGATTTGCTTTCATGGTGACCTTTTTTTTTGTCAGTGTGAGACAGGCCAGTGCAGTGACAGTTTAGCATACACAGATGTATAACATTGTTAGCTGTTTGTTTTCACTGCTGGTGCACAGAGAGAGTAGAAAAAACCTCACTCTGTTTTTTCTTTTTTTCTTTTCTCTCTCCCACCCTCACAGGTTTCAAGTGGCTATCTGGTTGTGGCTTTTGTTTATGTGACTGAATTTGTTGGCATTAAAGCACGAACCTGGGCTTCTATGCATGTCCATGCTTTTTTTGCTATGGGAATTATGATTGTGGCACTCGTGGGATTTTTGGTTCGGACCTGGTGGGTCTATCAGATATTTCTCTCCATAGCAACTGTTCCCTTTGTCTTGTGCTGCTGGATGCTCCCAGAAACACCTTTTTGGCTGCTGTCAGAGGAAAGATATGAAGATGCACAAAAAGTGATTGATACAATGGCAAGATGGAATAAAGTCAGCACTCCCTGCAAAGTTTCTGAACTGTGCTCAGTCCAACGAGATGATCCAGCCAGCGGCAGAATGGGTGATGATGATACATCCTCAGCAAAGAAGCACAACATCTTAGACCTGTTTTGTAACTGGCAAATTGCAAGAAGGACCATCACAGTCTGGCTGATCTGGTTCACTGGGAGCTTGGGGTACTACGTCTTCTCCCTCAGTTCTGTCAGTCTAGGAGGCAATGAATATTTAAACCTCTTTCTCATAGGTAAATATTCTTGTACCTTATTCTGTTAATGACAGAACTGGAAGATAGCATTGAAAAATGTCTATAGATTTGACAGCCAATTTTTTACTTTGTTCATTCAATTGTGAACCGTGTTTGAAAAGTTTCATGCTAACTCTTCATAAAGTTGACTAACACAGTATCATTCACTCCAAATTTCACTGTATCTGAGAAAAAAACAAAATAGAATTTGTTGGTGCACAGAATTCTTCTCTCTTTGTTTTTCTGATTGTAAAACCATATTCTGGCTTGTCTTCTTTTTGCCTTGGAAGCTTATAATAGATCCACACAAACACCAGGGGAAGCAGGCAGACAAGCAACACAAAATTCACTCAGCTCTGTTAAAGGCACAAACTAGGAAAATGGGAAGAAAAAAATATTCCTTTTATCACTTACAGTCGTGATATATTGAGTTTGTCTGTGTGGAAAATATAGTCATAATTGTCAGAAGGAAGAGTCATTTTAGTTTTCTCAGAAGTGTAATTTTAATTAAGTTGTAATACTCCTTTAATTTTATCATCCTGGCTGTAATCTTTCTTTGGCATGTAAGTTGTTTATAAAGGCAGCTCAATGCATTCAGGGCCTGATCCAAAGTTTGTTAACATCAGTGGAAATATTCCACTGACTTCAGAAGACTCTAGATCAGACTTGCAGCTCTGAGCCAGTGAAGAATTAAATCATGTGCTTTGCTTTGTGCAGCTGAGTACTCTCAGTGAAGTAAATGTGGCTGATCATGTATACAGGCTCACAGAAGGACTGGGGTTCTCATTATTCCAGTTTGTTTTGTCATGTATTACAGTGTATTGTTAGACTGATGTGTTGAAGAGTGGGTGCTGGTGTTGCCCAGATAACTAAACTGCTATTGTGGAGTACACTGTACCCACCTCTTCTAAAAATGTTTTAGCACAGACACCGAATAATTGCAACCTACTTTTTCCAACATAACCCCAAAAGATTGTTTCCGGATATTACAGGTGTATTGACATACTATATGTACCTAATAAAGGAATCCAGGTTGTTCAGGGCTGTATCTTATGTTCTTCCTTGATTTTACATTGGACATAGTAGCATTCTTCCTAAGCAAATGGGCTTAAAACATGTCCAAACTGGCTTTGGCTCAGTATTGTTTGTCTAGGGGCAAATCATGCTTACACAGTGCAAACAGGTCTAGCCAAATGCCAGGTCCTTAGAGCAGCAGAAGTTTTTCTCTGGAAAGAAATATTAGGACAGGATAATCTGTATTATGAGTGGGATATTGTAAACCCTCTTTTTTTATGGAGAAGGGACAAAGCTGGAACTGTGCTCTGTATTAGTGGGGCTTACTCAGAAAACTGGATGTGGACAGACCTTTCTTGCCTTTTACTTTAAGATGATTTTGAGCTGATTCTGGGAGAGGCACCTATGGCTACCATCCCTGTCCAGGTGGAAGCTGGCAAATCCTGAAAGGTGTGTCGGTGTGACACCAGCAGTATTCCCTGTGGGCACACTTGAGCTGTTAATGTGAAAATATCTGAAGGAGAAAAGCAGCAAATGTAGAGCTTTCAGACAGCAGCATCATTGTCATAGAAGCAGAACTGTGGCCTTGCTCTTTTCTGTAATTTTCCACCCCAAAGAGAACTGGAGCTGCTCTGTGCTGTGAAACCTCTTTCCCTTGTCCTTCTCCACTCCTACTTCCGTATTTTAGGCTGTTCTCTGTCTTCTGTCAGACTTTCTGTAACCAAATGAACTAGCCCAACACACTGATTATCTTTAGATTTTACTTGTTTCCTACCCCCTAGATCAGATAAATTCCTCATAAAGAGGAAGTTACAGTTATGAGATGAATATGTGTAATCATGGCTTAAACTGAGATAATTTCATACTGACAGGTGCTGTGGAGTTGCCTTGCTATATCATTGCTTGCGTTGCGATGGACAAACTGGGAAGGAGAAACACACTCATTCCGTTCCTTATTTTAAGTGCACTGATCTGTGTTTTAATTATGTTCATACCTCAGGTTAGTCACGTATGGTTGGAAGTGTTCCTATAGCAGAAATTGATTTTAAAGGATCTTAAGTTGGTAGATACAGGTGCTCTTTTTAAATCACAGAATAGTTAAATAAAGGCTGGTTTTAAGTTGCAGCTGCCAGTCTAAGATAGGTTTCTGTAAAACAAGTTTCAATCTCATTGCTGGAGTCACACATAAAATGCTCCCAGCGCTTCAGTGAACCAGGACTGGTAAAATTGATATGAAAACTAGTAACTTACTGAGCAATTTTTAAAAAGCAAGCAATGAGTATTCCTTATTGTTTAAAGAAGAGTCACAACTTTTGAAGAATGTAAATTATGTTTGGAAGGGTGTAATTTGCTGGTGATGTATTTATTTGTGCTCTCTTTCAATAGGATTTCAATATATTAATTATCTTAGCAAATATGGCTGGAAAATTTTCCATAGGTGTGGCATTTGGCCTTATATATCTCTACACAGCAGAACTTTACCCAACAATAGTAAGGTAAGAACTTTTGCCAGTTATATATTTTTCATTAATTAATTTTCATTAATTAATTTGTTATTCTACACAAGATCCAGCAGCTCTTGGCATCAGTGGTGGTGATCTGAGAGACTTGGGATGGGACAAGTTCCTCATCTGCCTCAGAGCTTTCTGGAGTTTGGCTGTACCATAGTTTTTTATTTATTTTGCATTCCATGTGCATTGATAGGTTCCATTGGGGAGCTAGAAGAATACTCAATATTTTCTTTAACATCTTTATGCCTTTCTTATAAGTCCTGGTTATTCATCCTGTGATCTGTGCTGCATGATAATTATATTTTTAATCTTAATTACAGAAGTAGCTGAATTTCACTACAATATAAATTTACATTGGCATAGCAACAGCTTCTTAGTATAATTGCTTAAAGACACAAATCTTACTGATGTTTTAAGTGTCTGTGTGTTTCTAATTGTTTCCTTTAACTGCCACAATTCTTACTCAAATTCTTTTCTGTATAGATCACTTGCTGTTGGAAGTGGAAGCATGATGTGCCGTGTAGGAAGTGTGGTTGCTCCTTTCTGTGTATATCTGAGAAGTGTCTGGATTTTCATGCCACTTGTAGGTATTTATTTCTCTAGTGAATGTTTTTTGGAAAGGTGTATGTGTTGCTTTTTTTCTCTTTAGTAATTTACTAAGTATGTTTTTCATGTGACAAAGGAACCAAAAGCTGAACATTTATTTCAAAAAGAAAACTGAGTAAACCGTTCTAGTTTGATATGTTCAAGTCCCAAATTCTAGTAGCCTCATATTGTTAAAAATATGCTGCTAAAGCAAAAGGGAGACTGAATCACTGAAATATTCAGGAAAGTTTTTATGACAGAAGACAGAAAAAATATTTATGCTCTGAATCCTAGCATAAAATTGATAAAAATATTCTGTATTTACCATGTAACATTTAGGAAGTGTTGTAGTCCAGACTTTTTTGCAGGCCTAGCAATTTTTGACCATGCTCCTGATTTAGTTTTACTTTTTTAAAAAGGCATTGTTCTTTCATTCCTGAAGTCACCACATGTGGCTGGATTTTCTGACAATTATGCCTTAACATTTTCCATGGCTTCTTTGGGATGTTGCATCTTTGGAATAGCCTCCCAAAAGATCAAGAATGTTTTGTGCTTGCTATATTTGGTCTCCATACCTGTCCCAAAGCTCCTGTTCTGTGTTTTTCACCAGAACTGAACAAAACAGTTCATGAGATAGAAAAAGATAAGGAGATGGTATATTGATCAGCTTCATGGTGACTTTGACAAGCAACAGAACCAGGTCAGATTACCATTAGGTCTTGTCTTTTACCACCAGTTGACCCAGAAAAGAGAAGTGGGACCATTCCTTTGTGTACTTTGGGCATTATGTAGTAGATCCACTACTACAAAATATTTTATATTTTCCCTGCTCACACATTCCTTCATTGCATTTCTGTTACGAAGCTTTTGCTGCTTAGAAATCCTGCAGCAATTCAATCCATTTTTTCTCCTGAAGGATAAATAAAGCTTATATATGTAAAACTAGATGGAATTATAAAATTTGCATTAAAGCTTTAAGTAAAGAAATGTTTCTTAATGATTTTAAACAGTTTAAATTCTTTCAAAAACCCCTTAGAATTCACTGTGACTAGGGCACTGCTGTTATATGTAGTTTATACATGTCAGAAAGTGTAATGGGATGTGTCTTTAACCTGGATTCTTAGTCAAATTGTATCCACAATATTGGAATTTCCTAACCAAGGGCATTGTGTCACTTTGATTTGGTAACTAAAAAATCTTTAGTTTAGATTGTTTCACAGAATTCTTCTGAGCTCATTTTATGATTTAAATTAATAAGTTTTGGTTGCTTTCAATGAAAACTAAGAGGATGAAAGAGACTACAAATGAATTTATTTCTTCAAGTTCCTAACAATGTTTTCTTTCTTAACAATGTCTCCACATAAAACAAGATATGATCCCAGAAAAGACAAAGAAACATTTGCACAGCAGAGTGGTCATGGGAGAACATTTCTTTTTTCCTCTTGTCAGCATTTTGCCTTTACTGTCTGAAATAAGATTTAGCTGTGCAGAAGTGCTGCAGTTAGACCACAGATGGGGGAGTGCTCAAACATTTTGGAGAGCAGTGCAAATGTCATTATAAGCACAGGAATTATTTCAGCTATGAACAACTCTCAGGGTAAAAAAGCTAGATTTTTTGTAGAGTTGAGTAGTAGTTCACAGTGAACATGTTTCCATTATTAGCTCCTGTTAAAGAGCATTTATCAATTTATTAAATAGGATGGTCTTGAGTTGGAACATAGCGTGCCAAGTCTCAGGTCAAGTAAGTGTTTTGGAATGGAAGTGAAATCAAATGTATTACATTTGTAAGTAAACTGATACACATCACCCTGATCTATTGCAAACACCACACACTGTTGAACAGTTACTACTGCTATTTGTTTGGCACTCTGCCTCCTGCACAGTTATGCCACCTGTGAGTACTGTAAGCATCTTGAGTGGCTATAAATCTTCAATAAGTCTATAAATTGAATAACTTGACAAGTATGTTTTTCATGTGACAACTTTATAGAAAATGTGCAGTAAAACAACTGCTCCTTATATACCCTATTTCTGTTTCTCAGCTGTTAAGAATTATGTAGCAATAGCCCTTTAACAGGCTTGATTTTTCACTCAGAAAAAAAAGATAAATTAGAAATTTAAAAAGCCCACACTGATGTTAATAAATTAATACAAACTCTCTATCAAATACTATCAGTTTTTCATGTCGAAATATAACCTTTTTTGTTGAAGTAGGACTTTTTCATGGGTATTTAATTCAAATAATCTTTTGTTCTGGAGTATATATATCAAGTCCTAGTCTTAGACCACTGCAGAATTATAAATGTTGCTCCAGAAAGGGAAGAGGACATAAGAAAAATTATGGTAAATATTTTCTGAATATTTCTATGGTATCTGTTAGAAGCTGCTGGTTATACTGAAGTGTTGGGAACACTCTGAGAGTTTGTCTAAGCAAAAAGTCAGATTTCAAATTAACACCCTGAAAACACAATGCATTTAAGCATTTATGACTGTCAAATTAACTTCAACATACTTAATACCTTGTACAATAACTCAAATACACTTTATTTGCAGACATAAGCATTTGACCATATCAGGAGAACATTTTCTGATACTGAATTATATATTTAAAATCGCAAATACATACATACAAAATGCACACATTTGTAGCGTGCAAGCAAAAGGTTAAATTATGTCAGATGCCTTATGAAGAAGTGTGCCAAGACTGTAAAACAGTTGCTTTTACGAAATGTGAGTCCCTTCATTGATAACTGTGGCTACTGCCCCTGAAAAGGTAGATTACATTTGAGAAGTCCTTGAATTAATACACTGTGACTTAATTGTTGCATACTCTGTCTGTTGTAGGAAATGCTGGAAAAAGGTTTGAGGGTCAGGGAGAAGAGAAATGTACTGAATTACTCAGCATGCAGCAGCTTTCACATAGAGAAAAAAAAGGGAAACTAACATGGCATGAAATAGAGTTATGAGAGCTGAGATGAAAAGGCAGGAAAGGTGGTGGTGTATACACTTACAGAATAGTGAGAGTTCTCAGGGGAGTGAGAGGTAGCTTCATGAGGAGGGAAAATACGAGAAGAATGCCAAGTGTCTAAAAAGATTAATGAAAAGAGAAAAGACACATATTCAAAGCACACAGTGTTACTTTAAGCTTGTTCTTTTGAGTATCACTAGTGACCCAGTTCTCATACACTCCAAATTTATGGGTATCTATAAGATTCAATATCCTTTACAGGCCCCAATATCCTCAGTTATCAACTTCTGACAGACTAAAGGGTGTACATAAAAGAGGATACTGTGGAATAGCTGCCATGTGTCAATTCATCCTGTCTTTCCATGGCAGAAAATCATGTCTGAATAGCGGAGAAAATATTTGACACTCAGAGATGAGATTTTAGTATTTTGGAATATATTTTTAAATATCACTCCTGCCACATAAATGTCTAAAAGAATCTCACTCAGTTTGTGCCATTTCCTCTAGTCCTATTACTGCTAGGATTCTTTTTTAACTTTCATGGTAAGACTGTGGCTTATATTTTCACTGTAATTTGTAGTATTTAACAGTATTTTGATTTTTTTTTGTCTGCCTCCATATTTATTGCAAATGTGAAAAGGAGGGTATGCAACAGTGCGTTTTGCTTCTCAAAAGAATACATTAAACAAACTGTCCTCTTTTTTTTGCAAGAGAAGAGAAACAAAACCAGCATGGTGCATATGCAGGCAAATAGCACTGTTCAAGGTTACAGTAGGCAATTCTGATTTTAAAGCACCTTTCTGACTTAAAGTCTGGCTTAGCTAAAGATAGTAGCTGGGCAGTTCTTGTCTCAAGCTCTGTGTGAGAGATGTAGGCACAGTGATTCCAAATGTTCTCTTTCACCCTTGGAAAGAATGCATTAAACAAAGGACAGACTTCAGAATCAGCACAGGGCAAGATAAGGATAATACAGCATCAAAGTTCACAGCCACAGAATGGAAAAACACTGAGACCAGGCATGATGTTCTGTGTGAAAGCTTTTCTATGAGGAGAGAATTAGGTCATTTATAACCTGGTGTTGGAGGACTGTTAGGGGTTTAATGCTGTTCTGTACTCAGAGGACCAAAGCGGGAATTGGTGTCATTGAACAAGGCATAGAAATGTCTGTGTGAGGGAATGTGAAAAGAAAGAGTAGTTATTCCTAGAACAACTGAGTGTTTCTCTACTGACCCCACATTATCCTGATCCTTGCACCACTTATGCTGTTGCTGTGGAATTGTGTACACCATGGATGGGCATATCCAAAATGGGATCCCAGTGCTATGTCAGTAGATGACTGCACTCCTAGCAGTTCTTTGAAACTGAGTTTAGCAAAGTATTCCTGTTGAGAGCTAGCTCATCTTCTACTGAAGAGCTCTCCTGAGCACAGATGTGCACTTCTGTGGCTCTGGGCCAATGAGCCATATTGAGAAATTCCAATCTGGTTGTGTAGAGCAGGAACAAGCACACAGGTACAGGTACACAGGAGCTGGAGTGTGAATTGAGATTACAGGTGGTAGGGAAATTGTAACTCTGTGAAGATGCCTGTAAAAATAAATGTATGCAATCCTAGAATCGGTTCTTAAATACACACCTGATACTGAAATACCGAATGAAGGTAATACGTGTTTTATACAGGCAACATTTAAGACTTACGATCTTTGCTTTACAGTTGCTTGTGCTTTATTTTAGATTTACTCTCAAGCAAGATCAAAACTATGGTTAGCTTGAAAGACTTATCTACCTTTACAGCTGCTGTTTATTTCTTCCAGTTGCTCGTTGGAATCATGGCTCTTCTGAGTGGAATATTAACCATAATGCTTCCAGAAACACTGGGAAAACCACTAACTAATACTTTGGTGGAAGCTACAGAAATTGGAAGAAACAAGAAAAGCTCTTCAGAAAAGACTCCTCCAGCACATAATGGTGCAGAATTAGAAAAGATAGAGCTGTTTGGTCAAGAAAAAGTCAGCACTGACAAATAAAGCAGCAGCAAAATGTCTGTTCCAAATTTTAATCACTATCTAATTTATAAGATCTTTGTATTCAAAAAAATGGGACTGTTATATAACATCTGTGCCTTGTACTTTGTATTCTATCTTCCCTTTTCAGTAGAGCAATTGTATGAAACCTTTTCAAAGTGACTGAGTTACTGCAGAAAATTTGATAGGATTTCTAGATCCCTTGTCAAAATTATCCAGACTTTAAAACACTCGTCTGACTTGGTGTGACCAGTTGGAATGATTAGTCTAAATGATGGAACCTATCTGATTACATGTATGTAAAAAAAAATATGCCAATTCTTTGCTTCACATTTTCTGCAGTTAGGTTTGTCAACCTACAGCAAAGTGCCCTGCCTGATCTCATCCTGTTGCAGCTGCCAGTTACAGGCTTGAGACTTCAGAACACAGTTACAATTCAAGAGAGAAGCCTTAACATTGCATCAGGTCATATCAAGAAATTGAAACTAATTTATTATTTTTCTTTTTCTTTCAAGTTTTCTACTAGAAATGGTGCCATTGCTAACAAAGGAAAATATACTATGGCACAGCTTCTGACTGAAAAAAAATACTAAGTTTGCAAAACGTGCAAATAGTTTGTATATTCATTCTGTTGAATGGCAAATGTATTTTTATTAGGGGTTTAGGAAAAATAAAAGTTCCCTGGATCTACTGCTGTTTCAGTTTAGGTAAAACTAAACTGTCTGATCCCATTTAAAGTCATATTCATTCCAGACCATTATTTCAGTGCACCCTTTCTCACTTATTTCAGCTTAGATCTAGCATCAGATTTTTCATAACTTCTAAGAGTTGACCAGCAACTTTGCCAAATGCCTCCAGAGAGGTCTTCATAGTCCTCAGTGAAAAGGAATAAATGGCATATGGCTTTTGTTCAGGCTCTCTGCACAGAAGTGAATTTACTTATTAATTTTTGGTAGAAACGGTTTCCACTCACCATTTTTCTCATAGGTCAGCTGTCTGTAACTCATTTTTCCTTATTATATCACACAAACCCTATCTAAAACAGTTAGACAAATAGAATTTAAAAGATGGTAGCTGGAGAACACTGATCACTAGAAGATTGTCTAGTTTTAGTCAAAGTGTCAGAACATCCCACTGCTGCTACACCTCGTGTGCATCAACACTTGTTGGTGCAGTGGTTCTGCCTTATGACTCTGGACCATAGAAAACTGATAGAAAAGAATGCATCATTCTGGTTGCTTCTTTTATGACTTTCTCCCACATCCCCTTTTTCAGTCTATCTCTAGACCTGGGGATTTCTTCTTTGTCTGAGGATCTGCATCTCTTTTGCTTGACCACCCTTGGTTTGAAGGGAGCAGAACAGGCACATCTGCATGTTGAGGTTCAGACAGCCCTCTCTTGCCTGGGTTGTGTGATTTCAGTCCTTCCTGGTTTGAAATCAGTGTTTTCCCCTCTCAGGCCCCTATTCTCATGGCATAGTCTCATTAAAACAAGTCTTCCTTGACCTTTGCCATGTACCCACCCCAAAAGATATCTATATTACTGTAGATATTCTATATACTGTAGAAATTACTGGCCACATTTTTCAATTATATCTGCCCAGTTTTATTAGTTTCAATGACTTCTGAAACCTATATATATATATATATATTATATATATATATATATATATATATATATATATATATATATATATATAATTGTTTATATCCCCTTACAAAAGATTTTATTCTTCACTGCATTCTCCTGGAATTTGGTCCTGCTGTTAGAAGAAAATAATACCCTATATGAGGATTAACATGCTTTGAAGCAAGCAAAAATCAGTAAATTTAAGTTTAGGTAGTTCCTCTGAGATAATTACATAGAAAGCAGAAAGGTGTCTTCATGCTTCTTACTTAATTCTATGGGTGTTCCAGTGTTTGCAGGGAAAACCTCCAGAAAGATCTGCATCGAATACTGTGGCTTCTGTCCAGATATATGAGTTCAGCAAAAACACTTAACCTTCCCCCTGTGAGTAATCCCATCATTATTCTGAGAATGACTTGAATACCTGCTTTGATGACTGAAGATCAGATTACTCACATGCTGTGGTTTTTTATTTTTCTGAAGAGCAAATCCAGTATTCTTCCACTGCTTTCAGGTTCCCCTCCACTTCCCAGAGCAGAACAGCTCTCTTTATCTCCAAGATCTACTGCCAAACTCTGCCTGCCCTGCCTTAAATAAGGGTTTAATCATGCTAAAAACCCACCATCATACAATACACCTAACAAGGAATTAAACTGGTACTGTCTTGCCTTTCAACCACCCTCCCCACACACACAGCTCCAAATTCCACGTTTTGGGGTTTTTTCACACTGATACTCCCTCTTTTAATATCTTAAAACTCTCTCTAACTCCATCTATCTCAAAACTCACTACTCACAACTTTTAGGAATAGTACAGTCTATTTCTAACAAGGTACTAAAGAATATTTACAATTATTTTTTCTGTTGTTTCCTTACCTGCTGAGTAACTGATTTCGGTCTTAGAACTGAAATCAGCCAATGCAGATTCTGTGTTCCTTTGGCTTGAGGGATTCATGACCTGGTCATGTGTAATCAGTACACATAAGGTGAAGAAAAGAACAAGCAGAAAATTGAATACACAATGATACTGATACTGCTTACAACTAAAATTTAATTATTATTCTAGACCACAATGTAACTTGATGGATTAACCCCTAAAGCCATTTCCTCCTGTCGCTGAAGTCAGTTGGTATTTGGTCTATGATTCAAATGACCCCTGAATTTCCCTGAACTAATGATGTTACTGTTTTTCCTTGGAAATAAAATATTTGTTGATTTACAGGTACATCTTTTGTGATTTTATGCATCAATAGCAAATATTATTAAAAAAAAAAAAAGAAAACAGCATGTATCTCTATGTCTCTAGCATTTCTATTTGTTTGTTTTTTCCATATGGGCAAAAATATGTTAATACTAGTCATGCATTATAAATGTAGGAAAATCAGGGTGAGTTGATTCCTTTCTCTTAAATATTCATAGATTTTTTTAAATCCTCTTGCAAGAGAGCACTGAGTTTGAGAACAAATACTTCTCTTCCTATCGGGTATATTTTCATTTCAATGTTCATAAAAAGAATTAATTTTCATAGTTTCTCACTTTAGTTCACAAGTCCTTTTATGTTTGTATTTGCCATCCTTAGTGTGAAATTTTTGTGCTCATCAACGTCTCTGGAGTTACACAATAGTTCTATGAGATAATGAATTAGAATCCTTATCTGTCTTAATTGCTGGGCACTATTGCATGATGGCAAATGTTTTTGTCCAGAATTTGATATCCAGTAGACAGTCTTGGAATTTGTTAAGGCCATACCTTTCTGGGTTAAATATAAGAATAAGAGCAACTATTGTTAGTTTAATGATAACTAAGGAAAAATAACAAGTACATGTGTTTGGTATTTCAAAATTGTATTTTTAAGCTATACTAAAAGATGTATTTTCTACTTTAACAACTTCAATTGTGCAAAATCCTGTAATTTAACCAACTAAATATAAAAAAAAATGCTATGCAAATCATGTTCAGTTATCATATGCTTTGGGTGGTACCCTGAATGTCTGAACAAGGGGTGAAGCCTCCTTGAAGGCTGAGGGCTTTTGTGTAGTGGCTCTGTGGAAAGACAAAATGGCCTGACATTCCAGCTCTGGGATGGAGTGAAGGACTTACTGGCATTCTCCTGTGTCTTCCAGTGGTTTATTTTACCAACCCCTTAGGTGCAGTCACTTAAGAAGCCTCTGTGGCATCAGGCTCAGCAGTGTGCATGGCCTGTGAATGCCTTTTGGAAAGGCTTAGGAAAAAGGTGAGCTCACTTGTGCCATGGACTCTTGGTCCAGAAGGGCATTGTGACTACAAAAAGGAGGCTCTGAATTCATCCTGTGCCCTTTACAAACATCTGAAAAATGTTTGTCTGAATCCTAGAACAAATTCCTAGGGGAGAAATTAGACACAAGGACTAAAAAGAAAATAGAGTGTTGACAAAAACTGAGTTTATTCTATCAGGGAAAATTCTAGTCAATGCTGAAAATTAGTTACCTCTCACAGGAAGAAAGACTAAAACACATCTATGTTCTGACAGCCTTAATTTTATTCACACTCCGTTTAAGTGTGTGGCTGGTGTTTTGGCATTCCATTGAGATCCCTACAGTTTAGGATGGCAAATATCACGTGTATGTCTTTTCCCTCTTTGTCTTTGCAGGTGTAAGCCAAGATTTGGATAATGTATTAAGTGGTGACTATGACAAAAGGTGCATTAAAAATGTGGCATGTTTTGCATTTCAGTTGCAGGAAAAACATTTTTTTCTTGCCTTTGTTTGTATAAGCTGACTGGAGCAGTAGTCCCTCAGACACATTCAGTAGTGACAAAAATAGCTGCAGATATTGAGGAATGGGTATGTGGTACCAGAAGAGAGAGTAGGTGACCACAGGAATGACAGAACAATGTACTTGTAAGCACATGGTGTTCAGTGCATGTGAAGACTAACTATAGCTTCCTCATGCAGGAACTGGAGTGGGCTGACAGCACAAGGAAAATAAGAATTGCAGCAATTCATAGCTCTATTTTTATTTGTCCCCTTAGAGCATCTCAGGAACCTATTTATTCTTCAGTTCCCTTAAATCTCTAATTAGGGCATATGACCCAATTTTCCATGCATATTTTATTAAAATTGTATTTTCTGATTAAGTTACACCCATTGCTTTGCTTCATCATTTACATTTTGAAGGCTTAATGCATCCTTGCCAGGTGATTTATGTTCCTCTCTGAAAGTAACCGGAGTGAATGGTCCAAATAGTTGCTGCTAAAGCTGAGAAATTTGAATCAAGCCTGACAGACTGATTTCGAGAGCACTGAGTTCAATCAAGCTGAATTCAATCAAGCCTAAGAAGTATATACTTCATATGGCAAAATATCCTTTTTAGTATGACTGGTATATAAACAGTGATTACAGATTCCAGTTTCCGGACAAACACCACTTTCCAAAAAAATTACTAACCTAGATTTATGAATAATCAGAAGTAATGGGGAATGTCTCATTTAGTGACAAACCCAGTGTTCTGTCTCTGCATTCCTGGCTAACATACAAGCTTATGGGTATTTGCTTGGGTATTTGTTGCAGGTTAAGTAGGCTCCAGCTATGGAATGCTCATAGACATTTAGTTATTAACCTTGCCTCATAATCTTCCACATGGAGATGAACAGACTTGCATGGGAATAAGAACAAAACAGCATTAAGGAGTGATTATTGTAAAGATTGTCTCCACAGTCTCACCGCCAGTGATGAAATTAAAAAGTGGTTTTGGCTGAGGTAATCAGGAACATGGCAAAACAACCAGGGATAAATGGGCTATCTCTCAGTAGATATTTTCACAAAGCTTTTAAATAGGAATGCCATCACTGCTGGTTTCTTCCACGTGGAGAGATAATTCCCCCCAGAAGTAAGTAAATAACATGGGACAACAGCAAAATGAGGCACAGCTGAAACTCTTTGTTGAAATAGTAACTTGCTATGGGCACTGATGCTTGACTTCAACTGGTTAAAGAAGTGGCAGATAAATTATGCATATCATTTACAAGGTCTGAAATAGGTCAGCACTGCTGTGTTCAGAGGGGTCATTTCTGCCCGTTGTTATGGCTCTGTTCAGGATAGCACACAAATACTAAGGTAAAAGGTAACATTTCTTCAGGACTGCTTCAGCTGAGTTGGTGGTGTTCTGGGATGCCACTGCCTGTCATGGTTCAGGAAGAGCTCCAAGTACAATCAGGGCTGTGTTTGTTCTGTGCCAGAAGGCTGGCATTCTCTTCCCAAATGCACAAATCATGAGTTGCGCTTTACCAAACACAATGTGTTTATTCACCTTTGCAAAGTACTTTAGCCCATAGAAGATTCTTTTCAATGTCATTATTATTAGATTTGGTATCCCAAACCAGCTTGAATTTCCTGCATTTTATTCTCAGGAAAAAACACACTGAGAATTCCCTGAAACCTTCAGACTTGCACAAACATCTGTCACAGAACATTTTGATCCAAATAATTCCAATTTGGCAAAGTTCTAAGCAATAGGCAGTAGAATCTCAGGAGAAGTAGCAGGCAGTTTTTATCTTAGGTGGAACTGCAACCTCTGTTTATATTTGTATATTTCCATATGTGAAAGGAACCTCTCCAAATCTATTGCAGATACCCTGCAATGACTTAGAATAGTGTTCATTTTTACAATACAGCAAGCCCATTTAAACTTTAACTTGTAAACAAGCAAACCTCTCTTTGTCTGCTGCCTTCCCTGTCTTAATCCCCTATTTTCAGAACACTCAGAAAAATTAAACTATACTATAATTTGGGAGAATTCTGCCTTGTTGAAGGGAAAATCCTTTAAAAAACATGTACCTTAAAGGTCAGTGATGTGTAATGTATCATGGCTTTAGTTTTAAGAGCACAGCTAGATTGGGAGGCAAGAGCAATCCACCGTGTGTGGAACACGCTGTTGCTGTTCATACAGATATGGATGAACAGCAACATATCTGTCGAATGGCTTTGGATGGCTGCTGGTCTGAATTCAAAAGGCTACAGAGAAAAGGCACCTGCTTGGAAGACCCGTTGCAAATGCTGTTCGACAGGGCTGGAGGGGAGCGGTCGGCAAACACTGTCCTGCTGAGTGTTCAGGGACGAATGCTCAGGCTGTCAAATATTAGCCAAAATATCCTGCCAACGGCTAATGCCCCGGAGGCAATAAACCGGGGTATATGGCATGCAATTTCATCCCAGAGCTCCTGCAGAGAGGTTTGTTTTTGACAAACTCCTGTTTTTCTGCTGCAAACAGCCCTGCCTGGCTGGCTCGTTAGGGATTTGCGGTCTGGCAGGAACCCGCTCGTTCCTCACCGACCTGCGGTGGCTGGAGTTCCCCTCCTGGCCGCCCGCGCCATTGCTCAAGCGCTGGGGCAATCCTCAGGCAGCGCCAGAAACACTCCGAACATGACTGCCTGTCAGGGAGGGAACAGGACAATGTATTCCCTGCGGCACAGCGGGTCCCGCTGGGCCTCCCCCCGAGGGAATATCAGGGGGAAAAGTTCTGGCAGGCGGCGGAGGGCCCGGCCCCGGCAGAGGCCGCCGGGGCTCCGGGAGCGCTGCCAGCGCCGGAGGCGGCCCGAGCCCGAGCCTGGGCACAAACAGCTCCTTCAGCCAGCGGGGCGCAGAGCCGGGCCCCGGAGCGCCCCGGCACTTCCCGGGCGCCGGCTCTTCCAGGCGGGACCGGGGGTCTCCTCCTCACCAGGTATCGCCTGCTCTCCCCGCTCGGGTTGTTTCCAGACCGTACTTCTAGGAGAAAAATAAATGTTGGTGCCGGAGCCCTTATGCTGCCGAGGGCCGGGGAAGCGCCCGCAGTGGCTGCGTGGGGGATTCCCGCGGGCAGATCCCATCTCCCGGAGCCGGGGCGGGGAGGGCTCAGCCCACACACCGGGGCGAGGGGTGAACCGCAGGGCTTAGCTGGGGGGAGGTCCGGGATCACAGCTGCTCCCTGTTCCCTTTTTCCTCACCCAGAGCGGCGACATGCCGGACCTGAGGGAGCGGGGATCGCAGAGAGGATTGCTTTCCTCTCCCGTTTGGGAGGAAAGCAAGAGCAGCTCGGTGTTTAGGTGCTCTTGGTGAAGGCGGCTCTTGCAGGCGGCTGATGCAGGGGGATACCTACCATCCCTTCGCAGGTGTGTCTCACGCTTGCAAACAATCCACCCGAAGGAGGAGCTGAGGTCTCCTGGTAGCCCCGGGGTCCCCCGTGACAGTGGCTCTCCGTGGTCGCCTGTGAATCCTGCTTTCTGGCAGCGGTGCTGTGCGGGCCGAAAGGCTGAGGGGATCCCGAGAAGCCTCTACAGTCCTTTGCTCGGTGAAGAAAGATAGCCTTGCCTTTCTCCTGCAGTACTTCCTAAATGTGCAGGGCAGCCCAACAAGCAGAAAGGGGACCTGGCACCTGGCCGGGGTCAAAAAGCCAAAATCAGGAGCTCCTCTGCAGCAAACACCCAAGAATGAATGTCTTGGCCCAGAAAAACCCCTCTCTGGGGCCGTGTGAAGGGAAGAAACAGCAAGGGTGCTTGTAAATTGGGGAAGTGATAAAACAAAAGTGATCAACAAAAAATGAAGGGAAAAAGTGTTCCATGGCATGCACTGACAGGGACAGTGGGTACAGTGGATGAGGAGTCCCTCCAGCAGCTTGGAAAGGCTTGAGCCTTCGCTCCCCAGTACCACAGGCTTCCCACAATTCAAAACAGCGTTTCAGCACTTACTTATGATGAGAGTCAGTTAAAAAAAACCCGACAAACCAAGCCTTCCAAATATAACAGGTTTTGGTTTTCTTTAGTTACTTCCTGTTCTAACTTTTCTGGTCAACAGTTCAGCTGGGCTTTTTCCACTGTTTATTTGGGTGTGTAAATATGCTTATTTTGGTAGGCCAGCTGGATTGCGACACAAGCTAAGAGTGTCCAGCCTGCTGTGACTGTGGGCTGCAGCTGGCAGTGGATGTACATGTTCCTCTGTCTGTGTGTGTGCTGGAGAACAATCCATGTTGGCCATGTTACCCACTGCCAGAATGATGTTAGAGCTGAGAGTTAGTGGCACTTAGTGGTGACATATAACTATTTGAGGCAAGAAAGAATAAAGACCTCCTTGTGTCACATGAGACTGACATTGTGTCTCAGCTGCAGGGATTGGTAGGTGAAGTCATGTCACAAAGGATCTCAATATTTTTAAAACTTGTTCTGGCCTGGGAGAAGCAGGAGGGTGACAGGGACATGAAACCCACATCCGGCAACTGGTGTCCTCATTGCTGGGGAATACAGCTCCAGGTGATTCCCTCTGGCGTCTGTCCTGTTCTTCCTACACTATGAAGAGACAGAGAGCTAAACAATACCTGACAGCATTCACCTCACTCCCCAAGAGCTACTGCAACTGATCTGCTTTTTAAATGCTGATTTTTGTAAAATTCTCAGGCCTGTCTGAGGGGATGAGAAGTGTCAGCCCTGCTGGGACTAAGCTGGGCTGCCACATCAGCTAAAAATAGTTTCTCCTTCTCTGCCCTCCACCCAGCAAGATGCCAGCTGTGCTGTGAGGGCAGAGCCATAGGTGGGCCTTGTACTCAAAGTGGGATCAGTAGTTCTGCAAAGCCTGAGCTGTGCTTGCTCATACAAGCTGTGTGTAGCCTCTGCTTTGCACCCAGTTAGTTTTTGACATGAAGGCTTGTGCTCCTGGACTGTAGCAGTAGGTGCAGGAAAAGTGGTGTATTGAACAGGTGTTTGTCATGGTCTTCTGAGCTGCTCTCACAGGCTCCAGCACTGTCAGCAGCCCCTTCCTGCCCTCGCTGGATTTTGCAGCATAGGGATCAGTTGATATCAGACTGGCTCATCTGCAAAAATCCCATCTGAACTGGGTAGACTTGTGAAACCTGAATCTCCACCAAGCCACAGCTCCCGTTTCTTCCCCAGGGACAGGGAGGTCAGTCAGGAAATTCAATCTCCACCATGGTCCAAGGGCTTCAGTGAAGGAGAGTTGTGAGGGACAACTGAAAGCACATCTCTGGCAGGTGGATAATGTACCCATTGCATATGTTCCAGGGCAGCTGAAAAAGCAGAGCTGTGCTTGTCCATGGATGGACTGCTGGGAGGATAACTGGGCACTCTGAGAGCCACACATCATTTCTACAGCTGCCAATTCTGAGTGAGAAGGTTTGTTCATAAACATGTATTTTGATACCTTTCTCAGAACCAGCTTTCCTCAGTAATTACAGAATTATTACCCAGGCCCCCCAATTTCTTGTCACCAATATTCTTCCTTACTTTCCCTTTCCACAGCATTTTTCCAGACTGGGTTTCTGGGTGTCAGCCATGCAGGCCAGCAGTTCTGGTCCAGGGTCCAATTTCCCCCCCATACTGTGTCCTCTTCCTCTGTGCCTACAGAGGCGCAGTGCCTATTATGCAGGCACTTCTGTAATCAGCTTATGAAAGAAGATGTGATAATTAGCAGAAAGAAACTTATGTGTTGCCCAGAGAGGAAGAAGACGGGTTGTAACAACCCTTGGCTCTGATGCAGAAGGAATGCAATGACAGGCAACACGTCCTGCTGCTCTTTCCCTTCTTACATAGCAGAGACATTACATTTTAAGTAATAGAACCTCAGGGGTAAGTGAGAAGCTGTGTGAACAGTTATGAACAAGGATCTCATAAGTAAACCTGACCTATCATAATTCCAGGTTGTCTGTCTTGCCTAAATTTACATCAAAGACTCCAAAAAGCCACAGGAAGGTGCTAAATCAACCTGTCATTTTCAGTGCAGGCACTGGTTTCCAGTAAAAGTTCTCAGAAAGCAATTAGCAGCGCAGGATCTCTACAGTCACTGATAAGCAGGCCCCATAGGAGAAACTAGAACCATCAGAGCACAAAACTGAATGTCTGTCTCACTCAGCATCCTCTCAGAGAGTGAATATTGTAGCTATTCCAGGAAAAAGTTAGTCATAGGCATAAGGGATCCTCCCCCTACCTCCTTGGTCAGATTTTGGCAGTGACCTATGGAAGGGGTGCCTGACCCAGCAGGAGCACCCCTACTCACCTGTTCGAAGCTGCTAAAGGATTTCTCAGCTCTGAGGTTGCCCAGTGTCTCTCTTCTGGGCCCATTTAGTCCTGGCTTTGGGCAGTTTGCAGGGTGCATGGAGCTGCATGGTTCAGTTCTGCTTGGTGCCTTTGTCAGTGGCACCTGAGCTGGCCATGGCCAGGAACACAGGCTGGCACCTCACTGGGATGGGTAACCAAGTGACTGTCTACCAAGAGCTGTGTGCCACTCCCCAGGACAGGTGCCAGCTCCAAAGCTTGCCCAGGACAGTGGAAAATAGAGACACTGCACTTCCTGGAGTTGCAATCAGCAGATGATGAGTGGAGTGGAGCTGCTCTAGGACATAAAGCAAGTTATAAGGAAATGCAGAAAGAGGCAAAAATACATGCCCTTGGAGCAGCAAGACTGGCTGGCACCTGGGGACTGCCATGTGCTGCTGAGAGAGCATGGCAGCCTTGGATACCCACAAATCTGTCCAAGGTAGTGAGTCATGCTGGCAGGTACAAGGACCAAGAATGGATTGGGAGCCTCCAGTGTGATTTGCTTCTGCTGCCCAGGCAGTGATAGCCCTTACTGCTGGAGATCCCAATATTCAAGTAACATCTAGGCTTAAAAAGATTTAAAAAAACCAATTTCTCCAGAGCTCTGTGCTTTTTGCACCTGACATGATAGAAAACTTGATGGGTGCCTCACTCCCTCAGATTTTATTGAGGAAACCTTCCCCAAACCAGCCCATGCACTAGTGGTGCATGTTACACATCACTCACTTGTGCTGAGGATGAAGTAATGGCTGCTTAAAGACATTTCAAAACTTTTTTGTCATATCAAAGGCTGAGTTCTTTTTAATCCTAACCACAGTTCTGGGATTATGTTACATTTCGTGTGGGTATTTCATAGCCTGATACTCGCCCTGGATGACAGCGATGTGTGATATGTTGTTTCCAAATGCAGGTAGAAACCTCTCTCCTCTGGCTCTGCATCCTGGAGATGGCCTCACCCAAGGTTGCAGTGGTGGGTGCAGGTGTCATTGGCCTGTCCACAGCACTGTGCATCACAGAGATTTGTCCCAGCTGCTCTGTGACAGTCTTTTCGGACCAGTTCAGCCCCAACACAACAAGTGATGTGGCAGCTGGAATGCTCATCCCTCACACCTACCCAGGTTCGTTTAATTCAGGGCAGAACTGCCCATGGCACCTCATGCAGCTGTGTCCAGGTGTGCAGTGGTGCATGGATGCTCAGGAAGAAAAAAGTGCCTTGACCTATGTTCCCTGTCTGTCCCATATCCTTGACACTCATTTGTATGATTCTCTTCTTTGCATTATTCTTCTCTGCAAGTTTGGTTTTGTTCACATGCAGACACACCGATCCACAGGCAGAAGCAGTGGTTCAAAGAGACCTTCACTTACCTTTTTGCCATCAGCAACTCAGCCGAGGCATCAGAGGCTGGCATTCACCTGGTCTCTGGGTAAGAGCAACCTCTGGGGAAGCCTTTGGTACATTTGTCCTGTGTTCTGGATCAAGCAGACAGGTTTTCTTTGCTAGAATTCAGGGGTATTCCCTTCAGGGAGTAGCTTTTATGTCTGTATTCCCAATAAACTGCATTGTAGCTGCTTATATGCAATGTATTTTTAGGCAAAGTTCAGGGACATGTGTGCACAGAAAACCCACCCAAGTCTGACTAGCACACACTATCTTTTAATAACCTATGTTTTCCACACTGTCACCTACTAGTTGTTTGCAGCAGGGATCATCTCCATAGGGATGGACTGCAGAATTCTCCAGCTTCAGCAACTTGGTACAGGGGTTCAACTGGGGCATGTGTGTTGGGGGTGTTTTCTGGTGCCTATTATGTACTGAGAAATTCACCTCTTAGGAGTATTGAGACTGAGCACTCTTCAGCTTTATGGATACCCAAGGAATGGTGAACAGGTGTGCAAGTGGCCCCACTGGGTCCAGCCAGGTGTCTGCAGTTGTGGTGGGGACACTGTATGAGGGCACTCTACATACACTATCTCTGGTAGGGCTCTCTGCAGTTTATTTACTCTGGTGTGCCATCCTCACACTCAGTTGTGCTGATCTTCTGCCTGTTTGCCCAGGCAGGTATTGCAGGAGCAGGCAGCAATTTTTGTGCATTGCTGTTAGCCTTGCAGAGCTGTGCTCTGCAGGGGAAAGAGGTTCCTGAGCTCCTTCCTGGGCTTGTGCTAAGATTGCCATGACACATAACATGGCAGAGCAATAGCAGTGAAGTTTCCTAGATTTTTCTCTGTCTTTTTAGTTGGCAGGTCTTTAAAAGCACTCCCAAGGAAGAGTTACCTTTCTGGTCAGATATTGTGCTGGGATTTCGACCAATGTCCGAAGCAGAACTCCAAAAGTTCCCGCAGCACCGATTTGGTCAGGCCTTTACGACCCTGAAATGCGACTGCCCACCCTACCTGCTGTGGCTGGAGAAAAGGTAGGGTTTGCTGCAGGCTGGGCATGCTGAGGGAAACCCTGGCAGAGGGACTGGAGGCAAGATGGGATCTCCTTGAGAGCCTTAGATTTGAACAAAACTGGGAAAAGGCTGTTTCTCATTGCAGAAAATGCAACAAGGTCTTGCTTGGGGAGAAGCACAGGAAATAAATACAGAACTTTTCTGAAATGTGAAAGGTCTTATTTATGCAATGTCCACTTTCTCCCAGTGTGTCTGTACAGTGGGGCTTGGAGTGTGAGTGACCCT